TACTAAACCCAATAGGAGTATGAAACAGTTGCCGTTACTCCACACAATCCTGTCTATAATAGGACAGTTTCTTACCAATGTTACACCCACCAAATGAATAGCACTAGAGCAGCGGTTCTCAACCTTTGCCAGGGGTCGCCCGGGAGTCTCCCGCTATTAGGGGGACCTGAAGTTCTTCATTAGGTCCTCTTCTAGTGATTGACAGCAGCATAGGACGGGTGCAATAGCTTGTTTGCTATTGGCTTTTGCAAAGTGAAATAGCCAATAGGAATCTAGCTATGCATTCCTAAGCTGTTTTTTTTTTTTTTATTCTGACGGCGTACAGCGGGCTTTAATCAGCTGCCTGAGACCTTAGCATCTCCAGCTCCAGTAATAAGGGGGGCAAGTACACATCGCCACTTCCTTACATTGTTTTACCTAACTGATGACATTGATTCCACTTAAAAGGACTAGTAAACGTAAATCAAAACCTGGCTTCACATAAAACAACAGCTAATAATAACATTCTCAAGCCTGTGAATGATGCAGTTCGTGTACAGAAAATGATATTGCTGACATTTTCATATAGTTGCTGTCATGTGAGGCTGAAGGAGGCTTAAAAGGTGACAACCTCTTTTTTTTGTAGAAGGTAACTAGATAGGAAGTCAGCTATGTTGGAAAATGTTGATAAAGGTAGTAGCGTCAGATATCACTTTGATTAAAGCACAACAACTTTTCTAAAGGAGTCCAATTAACCTGCGTTCACTTAAATCATTAACAAGGAAATTAAAAAAAGAATTTCAGCACATGACTGGCTGCTGGAAGCAAATTAAACACAGTGGGCGAAGTGAAGAACATTTTAGTAAATCGCCTCTTCTAGGTTGATTTACTCAATGACTGTTCATCTACAGCAGTGGTTCTCAACCTGTGGGTCGCTGTTTGATTTATGCTGTGCTAGGTGAGAGTCCTTCTCAGCCCTCTCCTAGCGCAGCAGTGTCAGTTCTCCCGCCACGCCGCCAGATTTCGCTGCAGCAGCCGCATCATCCCTAAATTTTACCGTTGGGGGTCACCACAACTTGACAAATGTTACCAAGGGGTCCCGGCCCTAGAAAGGTTGAGAACCACTGCACTAGAGGTTTTCAACCATTATTTTGCAAAGCTGGTACTAAAATAATTGCATTTGACATATTTTCCTACACTAAGGGGTCTATTTATAACTAATTGAAAGAGCCATTTGCCTTATTAATTTATCCTAACGTTCATTCTGTATGAGTAAAAGGCAAAAATTAACATTCTTGGATATCTTTTTTTTGGGTCAAATGTAATGTAATACTGCATTAATGGCCACTAGATAGGGCTGAGGAGCATAAGAAATACTAATTTTGTATGCTTCTAAGCTCGATTTAGTGGCCAAAATGGAGTATCACATTACATACAATCAACCTGAAAAGAAAATACATTGAACAGCATTCGTTTTTTCATCTATTTGAACACTCAAACACTTGTAGGGTGAATGGCTCTGCCAATTGTTTATAAATAGATCCCTAAATAAAGGAACCATTTGACAGCATAATAAACAGTCAAACATTATGAGAATACCCCTTTAAAACCCCCAATGGAAATCCCATCAGCAGCAAGACGCATTTTATTTTGTCAGAAATAATGCTGTTAAACCTAGATAAAGGTGCTCTGGAGATGTTTAACAGGGATTACAAGTCGACAGGGATAGACAGTCTACAACGAAAGACCTACAAAATTACAAAGAACTGAATCAGCACCTCTGTGATTGGGTCACAACACAACACTAAGGTGAATATTTATAAAGCAGTGAATGTGAAAGTCCTAAACACTCCCAACAGGTGCATCTTTCTGGAGTATGTGTTTAAAAATTTCAGGGACTGATTCACCTGCAGTGATTGTCCAATGGATGCCACAATAATTGCTTTATGAAAGTGCCCCTAAAGCTGGCCATATACCTTACAACCATCGCACGACTTTCATTGTGCGATGGTTGTAAGATAATTAAAATCTTGTACGATCTGCCCATCTTGGACAGGCAGATCGTACTTGCGATCATCGCAAGCCCGCCCCGCTGAGGGGAGGGCTTCCGATGACTACAATGCTGAGCGGGCAAGTGTGCGCTTGCGCAAACCGGCCCGTTTCGGCATTTGTCTTCCGAGCACGCCACTAACCCGCCGAAAATCTTACAATTTGACAGGTTTTCCAGCGTGCTCGGAAGACAAAAAACGTGCGACCGTACAGTAGAAACGGTCACACGCCCTCCATATACCTACAGATTATCGTACGATCACGGGATCACCTTAAGTCATGAGTTTTAAAAAGCTGTGCCTGTACGGAAGGACAATGCCCAAAGACACACAACCCTTCAACCCATTTCCTATAAATATATGAGAGAGGATGGGAAAGAGCACATAGTTATGAGCAGCAATCTCAAGCAATTAGGTCTAATGACAGCATTGCGTGATCCTATGATAGCATGGTAATATGAGGCTATTTCAGAGGACAAAGTGAACATACCTTTCAATTATGACAACATTGCTAAACAAATTTGCAAATAACTTCAAAGAAATTCCATAGTCCCCGTCACTTGCCAGATTTTCGGGAATGTAGTTTAAAAAGTAGATTTCCACCTCCTTTATCCCTCATAGAACTAGATGATTTTATTCAATAAAAGGAGCACACAGTTTAGGATTTATGTGACATATTTCACAAAGCATTTCAGCTGTTCTGGAGGCACAGGCAGGCCCTTCAGATAACATATAATGTGATTCTATTATTCTGACTCCCAACCATAGAAGTTAAATGGTTCCTTATATCTTTAGAAATTAAAATATACCCTCCCTACCCATCGTAGACAAATGATAAAATGAGACAAAAACCTGCTGTAAGTATTTGGAGCTTCTACATTAATGATATGCTGTAAACACCACGATTATTGAAATGTTTAAAAGAAAAAAAGAAACAGCTTGCCTCCCTCCCTCGCATGGCTCACCCCTACCAGTTTCAACACTTGTAAGAAGATTGCTTAGGCGTTTGAGGGTGGTATATAAATAACAGACATACGTCCCTGAGAAAGCGTATGGAGAGAATACATATTTATATTTGTATGTAAACTGCATAAAATACAAACCGAAAAATAGGAGATGAAAAACGAGAAAGACCTCAAATAACTTTAACTTCAGCAATATTTTCATTTACTTGGCTGGCACATCTAAAAATTATGTTTTCTCATTATCTAACTAGCTTGGATACATAACCAGGAAGGACATTTCACAAGTTATGGAGCTTCTTGGGAAAATCCACTAAGGCTCCATTCACCCCTAGGTGTATTGTCGGAGCTGATTCAGCGCAACAAAACGCTCCACCCAAGGAATACCATTCATTTCTATGGCACCCATTCACACCTGTGAGTTGTTACTAGCAGAAACACGCCTGTCACTTGAAATAGTGCATGAGCTACTTTGGGGCAGATTTCAGTGTGTTTGGTCCCATAGACTGATTTTTTTTTTTGCGCATGTTTTGCCCATTCAGAGGAAGGTGACAGAACCTGCTTACAAAAACGGGCAACTTACTATACGCGTGCAAAACCAACACAAAAAACTGGATATTCAAGGTAATTCCTCTAAAAAGACCTACATTATTTTTAAAACCATCCCCGACACTAAAACATGCACAAAAATATACATATGCTTTATTCCAAATTATTTCTAAAACAGAACTGCTGCCTGCAGATTATTGCTATTGGTATAGTTAGATACTTGATAAGATAAGGAAAGCCATAAAAGCTGTAGTGTATAAAACATTTCACACAAAGCAAAAAACACAGTATGATATTATTATTATTACATAGTATTTATATAGCGCCAACAGTTTGCGCAGCGCTTTACAATTTGAGGAAGACATTACAATCACAATACAATTCAAGACAAGATGGTAAGGAGGGCACTGCTCCTGGGGACTTACAATCTAAAAATGATAGAAACAAGAATAATACATAAAGATAAAGCTTTAGAGCAGGACAGGACAAATCCTGGCCGCCAGGTCACCTTGGCGACAAAGTGCAATCTGGCGACCTGGTCATTGAAGTCTCTAGTTGCAGTTTTGCAGACTGCAATTTCATCAGTCACCATTTACCAGTGTCTGGAAGAAAAAAGGCCAATGATTAAACGCATGCAGTGCCTCTGTGTTTGTTTATGCGTGTCTCTGTGAGAGATAGTATCTTTGCAGAGCCTCAGTACATGTCTGTGTTCTGGCAGCCCTAGTGTGCATCTGTGTGTGCCAGGTAGCCTAACCTCTTGTTGGTGAACATGGATCAATGAGGTGCATAGCTATAAATGTCTGAACACAAGGCAATTGTTACTATGTGTTACGTGTATGTGGGCACAGATGACACTATGCATTATGCATCAGTAACGTTTGTGCACCTGGGGACATTCATCATCAGTTACACGTGTACACAGGAGACACTATGCATCAGTTACTTGTGTGTGCACCTATGGACACTATACATCAGTTACATGTGTATATGCACACAGGGGACACTATGCATCAGCTACATGTGTGTGAGCGCAGGGGACACTAAGCATCGGTTACGTGTGAGTGCCTGCAGAGGACACTATGCATTAAATTACATACCTGTGTGGGAGAGCATATGGATCTGTAATGTGTGTGTCACAGTATGCATAACGAAGGTGTGAATGTGTATTTTATTCTTAAGTAAATTGTGTGTAAATGTCCAAAAGAACAGGACAATGGGGACCTTGATTTATCTGGGTCTTTTACTGTTATATTTAACCACACAATTTATGAGGTGATTGTAAAATGTATGTAAATATATCAGTTAAAACACATGGAAATATTGATTGCCATGGCGACCGGCTTTTTTTTTTTTACTGGGTCCCAATTTTTTTAGCAGGCTACAGCTCAGTGAAATTTGTCCAGCCCTGCTTTAGAAAGGGAAGATAGTTTTCATAATGCAACGATACAACATCTATTCTTACCCAAAAATGGTCCCCAAAATATGACATCTTGTATCCTAGTGACTGAGGTAAACAAGGAGATTCCACGTTTAGAGCAGGTCAGTCAGCAGTCACAGCCCTGAAAGGACAAGAGAATGAACTAATGACAACAGGAGAACTGCATGGGTATTCATATACTAGAGAAAGGAGGGGGAGACAGGAAGAGAGGAAAAATGAGAACATCATTTCAGAATAGGCCGAATAGATATAAATTAAGCAGAGTAACAAAGTTAGTCGTGGCAGAACAAGGGGAGACAGTGGTTTGCTGCTTACAATCTGCCAGTTATTACCAGGTAGATACTGAAATTTCAAATACAGAGAACTAAAAACCTTGCCTAGAAGTAGTAAACAGTAGGTAAACAAGAAGGCAAATTAACATTGCCGTGCAATTTCTAATAATGCCTTTCTAGTAATAAAACATAAGAAAGAAATGTACATTCTGCAGAAAAAGGAAGAGCACATATTCAGTTACGAGGGGGAGTATGCATTCATTTGCCAAAAATTAGTTATTTCTGCTAGTACTGCATTTATTCACCACTTACTCAACACAGCACTAGTTCTACCTTACTCTTTCTATATTTGTGCCTTTCCCTTTGCCAGGGTTTAAAATTAGAAATGGAAAAAGACAACAGAAAAGTGACTGCAGCAGGCGCTGCACAAGTCTGTGTGACGAAAGTAAGGCATGGGAACAGAAACATGCAAGCATTGAAAAGGTTAGGACAGACAGAGGACAGGAAAACAAATACTAACCTGGAAGTCGGTTCAGCAAAAAGATGTTGAAGCTTAGCAACACATGTCCAGATTATGGGGGATAACAGGCAGTTGAAGACACTGATTTTCACATACCAAACAGTAGCGAACACAAGACAGGTGCATGTTTTAGGACAGCAGAGCAGCAGTAAGTGAACAGGAAATGGGTTAGGTGACAGATTACAAAAACAAAGTAACCTAAAAGTTCTCAAACGCCACTAACACATTTAACTAAAGGGGAAGTGAAACTATGATGACTATTTAGCCCACACAGAATTTTTATTTTTGTTAAAGGGGTTTTCCAATTAAAATGGAAAATACCTTTGTAACTGAAGCACCCCTATACAATAACACATAGGAAGGCAGCCCCTAACTAAACCTTACACCAGAATCGGTTTCAGTTCTGGAACCTGCTGGTTCAGGGGAAAGAGTATAAAAAGACAGATCATTCAACCATATTTTAATGGCACCATTGCATTGCAATGTGCAGACTTAATTTGACGAATGTTTCGAGAAAGAGGGAGAGCTATTTGAATTTCATGCAGTAGACCATTTTTCTATAACAGAATAGGAATAATTAGGTAGGAGAGAGAATGCTGATCTTAAATTATTTTGATATATTCATTTACAGGGTTATTCACAAAAGAGTGAAGAGTTTGGAGAAGACAGAAGTGAACAATCTAGGACAACATAGTTGAACTGGAAATATTCTCCAATTCAGCTTACTTTCCAGTTCAGCTGTGTTGTTCTAGATTGGTCACTTCTCCTGTCTTCTCCAAACTCTTCACCCTTTTGTAAATAACCCTGCAAGCCTCCTACTAACATTGTTCTCAATGATGTCTTCCAATAATGATCAATATCTGGTTAGCCAGGACAGTAGATGCCATACAACAATTACAAAACCTTTCCATATATGCTGTCATAATGCTCCTTTTGTACCTACTCCTGGAGCACATGTTCCTTCAAATGGAAAATTAAAGAAGTCAACTCTGATTTTGCCATATCAGGTTATGACAGGGGTGGACAAATTATTATGGAATTCAGAAACCAGCAGGATTTTTTTTTTTTAGCAACCAGCTCCATTGACAGCAACTAGAGCTGTAACCAGCTGTAACGTTTAAGGAACATTGGCTACCTGGCTCCTGGGATTTGTCTGGCCCTAGGTTAGGACTTCACAAGAGTAATTTAAATAAAAGGATATCATTTTTAATGTACCAGCCTCATGACAAATGTAAAAAATATTTGCTATTTCACAAGCTTTTAATCCCGTATATTATGTGGCTTCTGTTACTGCTCTATCATGCTAGACATCTATATGCCTTCCTTGGACCCTAAACACATGGGCTTTTTATCATTCTAACTAGTTAAAGTAGTATTAAAGGAGAACTATGGGGTCAGGGCTTTTCCCCATAGTTCTCATTAGGGTAACGGGAGGACACAAACTAGCGTCCTCCCGTCACCCTAAGCTCAGTATACCGCGAGCTACAGCTCGCGGTATACTGAGACATCGATGACGAGATACGTCCAGCTGCGTGAGTGACAGCTGGCTCTGCCTATCTATATGGCAGAGGAGCCATAGGCTTCTTCTGCCATCATTCTGTTTGGAGGAGAGGAGGGGTGTGAAGGGGAAAGGTACCCTTCCAAGGGGCGAGGGGGAAGAGTGCTGCGGGGACCTACTTGAAAACAAGGAATTTAAAACTTTTAAAGAAAAAGACAAAGGTGGGCCTCCTTGTAGCAATTATTTTATTTTTTTAAAGAAAAAAAACAAACAGATATCTGTAAAGCACCAGCACATTTTGAAAAACCTTTGTATTTTTTTTACACTTATAAAATTTATTTTAAATTGTGTGGTGAAGTGGCAACCCAATATGCATAATAGTCACATCCCAGAGACTAGTCTCTCCACTTCAGCCTTTCTAAAGCCACCACACTATAACAATACGTTTTTGGTGCCTGCTTCACAGAGGGTTAATACCACTAGTAAAACACCACATATTTTTTCTAATTTCTAAATTTCAACTTTAAAAAAAAGGAAACATCCTTAAAGCTTACCTTTAGCCCCTTTCACTAAAAGTCCCAACAGCATGCAGCTTTGCATGCTGATATAAATGTATCTTACATTTATTGCAAACATTTTTTGGTTTTACTTACAATTACTTTTTCCATTTCCTAGTGGAGTGAGGCACTAGTGATGTAGCCCTGGCCTCACAGATGCATCCTGGCAAGGCTAAATCGCCTGTGCCTTTCTGGGAAATCTCATCTGTAAACTGTAAAATCTCACAAGATCTCGGGGGGCAAAAGCATTTTGCACTGTTACATGTTCCTGGAGCCAAATCCAGAGTTTCAGGAAGTAAAGAGAGATGGATTAATTTGTCCTTACTGTGAGTGACCACTGTGAGAAGAACAGGGAGGAAAAAAAAAAAAGGTATGCAAACAATAAAAAGGCTGCAATTATCTAGAAGTATCTGTCTAGAGATCGCCATTACTAAATATTTCCAAATGATCCATTGCTGTCATTTTTGAGACAACTGTGACATTACTCTAACCTTTAGTTTGATGAGCATACCAGAGTCTTGCACTGGTTGTCCTCTTGACTGGCTCATTTTAACTGAAAATCAATGGGACTTAAAATTAAAAAGAGTAATCCTATACAAAGTACAAGAATCCACTTAAAGTGACATTAAAGTCACCTCCCCCATGCTTTTTTAAATAAATTATTTATCCCCCATGCTGCTTTAAGGACTTACCTTAAATGATGCCTCTTGATCCAATCATCTTCTTTCCGCTAGTTTTCAGGAGTCCCTCCAGCGCTGGTGCCAGCCCCTGATCCAGTGCTCACTCCCATCTCTTCCTGTCACACGGTGTCTGTGCGCATGCATGCTACCGGGTCATCTTCTCCCAGCCGAAGATCTCTACTGCGCATGCACCCGCCTCATGATCCTTCATGGCCGCTCGAGAATCTTCAGATCTTTGTACAGGAGTGAGTGGCGTAGACAGAGGTAAGTAATAACCTGTTCGGTAACTTTTTAAAATGTGTTTATGTTTTTGCATATGTCTACTGCTTGCTAGCACTAGATATATGCAAACATAAAAAAGAGAAGGTTTAATTCCACTTTAAAAACCTTGCAAATAAATAACTTTTAGTATAATCAGAGTGTGGTAAAACATATCAATCCATCCCTTTTAAGCAAATTTTATAGCAAACTCACAGCGAGCAGTCAATAAAGTGTAGATTAGTCATTGCAGTGAATTACAGCAAAGGACAGAACAAACACACTCTCTCCTTTTGTAACTACATTGGACCCTGTTCTAAAGAAAGATAAAAAAGCCTGTAAAGTAAGCTTTCCTTATTAAAAAACGAAAGGAAATGCAAAGGCAGACACACCTAGCTTTAAAAGATAAATCGATTTAATCAGTTTACCTGCAACACTTTTAATGCTGCTGTGACTGCAAGTGACCGTTTAAAGCTGAACTCTGGTGAAAAGAAAAAAATAATATGTGCATTTTGTCTGAAAGTGCACTTATTCTTTAAAGTCAATGGGGATTTGTGGACCTATTTTTGACATACATTTCAAGCACACGTCAAAAGCAGGAAAATAACACCGATCTAACAAGACCTTAACTTTCTGAAATTGTCAATAGGGAACCTGTCAGGGTGGTTAAGGCTTCTGTCTTGCACTAGAGGTTTTTAATGCCCGACTCCTAGAAATGGTGCAAGCTCTGGGACACAACACATCTCTACAGCATCATGAAAACTGCTCTATAACTAGCACTGCTTCCAAGAGATGGGTAATGGCAGTACCTAGCACTAGTTAAAGCATTAGCAGTGCAAAGGTACAATCATCCTGACATGTTCCTTTGAGGCCAGCTTAGCACCTTTGTGTTGTGATAACAAATTCCTTACCCTGTTACTGCAAAACAAAGCAATGAACAACGTGCAGCGCATTGCCCTGCCATTCATTTTGAGCAGCACCCCAATACACATATATGTTCCAACACAACACAATGCACAGATAAAACCATCTGTACATTCTGGTACAGTGCACTGCATCACAAAGTATGAGTCTGTCTTTAATGCATTGTGGTGCTTTGGCAGCCCATTCTAATCTAGTAGCATGTACTGCATACAGTATAGTACAGTCACCTAGTGTTGCAAATACTTTACTTTCCACTTTAATATAGTATGACATACATTTTGCAGCATGACAAACAGAAACCCTGTTCTTTCCCGTGCATATGATGCACAACTATGTACTGCAGTTTAGGGTGAAAGGGAAACTATATGGGCCCATTTACACTTGTGCATTGCCACACCTGATGCATGCACAC